TGCATACAAGCAAAATTATGTAAAAGTAAATAATGAAAATACATGAGAGAAAAAATAATATTAAAATACCATTTATTTAGTTTTTAGTATTTAATATATAAATAAAAATAAATACAAAAAATAGCAATCATGTGTACTTTTAAGTGGAATGAAAACCAAAAGTACCAAAAGTTGGCTGAATTGAAATAAAATTAGCAAACAACAGAGTATACTTTAGTTTTCAGCACAAGGGTAAGTGTTTGCGTGTGCATGTTGGTGCTTTGTGAGGATTGTAAGTGAAGCACGCGTGTGCCGTTGAGTTTCTGTGTTTATTTTAATTTATAAAATTTAATAAAATTATTTTATTGGTTTTTATATTATTTATATTTATTTTTACTAAATTGAATTTTTTTATTTGTTTTTATTTATTTTTTTTTTAGTTTTTTTTAATTTTTTTTTAATTTTTTTTAATTTTTTCTCTTAATTTTTTTTAAAATGTTTTCTTTTTATAATTTTTATTTAAATATTTTTTTATTAAAATTTTTTTTTAATTTCAATTTTTTTTATTGTAAAAATTTTTTAATTTTAATTTTTTTTATTTAAAAAATGTTATATTAATAATTTTAATGTTTGTTTTTTTTTGTAATTTTGTTTGTTTTTTAAAAAAATTTTGTTGGTTTTTGTATTTTATTTCAAAGGCTGTTAATAAAATGTCAAACACAGTGTCAACGCAGGGGTGTTCAAAGATAGAAAAAGAAGAAAATTTTAAATATTAAAAATTAAAAATTTAAATTATTAAAAAAAATAAAAAAGATTAAAATTAAAACAAAAATTGAAAATTAAAAGAAAAATTAAAATTAAAAAAAAAATTAAATACTAAAAAAACTCGAAATATTAAAACGAAAATTACAAAATATTTAAAAACGAATTTAAAAAATTTTGCTGTCACGCTTTAATATTTTTTTATTGTTGTGCTTGTGGAACAGTACAAATAAACGGCCGGTATTGAATTAGTTTTCATTTTTTAAGTTTGACTTTTGCGTATATTCTGAAATTTTGACCAGAAACCTTGAATTTTTATTTTTTTTAACTGCTATCTTTCAAATCATAAAGCGCTATTAGAAATCATAAAGTGATATTCATTTTGTTAATTTTATTTTTTTTTTAAATTTTTTATGTTTATTACTTTTAGACGTGTTAGTATTTTAGAAACGAAAATTTCGATTTTTTATATACGCATATGCTTTTGAAACCCAATATCTCCGACTTTTTTTATTTTTATTACTATAGAGCAAACAAATAAATATTTTTTACGTGCGCTATAATGAGAGAAAATATTCTAATGATTTTATTAATAAATGAAATTTTTGATGTTTGAATCAATTTCAATTAAATTTTAATTTGTATTGACTTTTTTATTTTAATTTAATTTAATTTTAATTTTAAACATTTTTTTTATTATATTTTATTAATTATTTTTATTTTAAATTTTTTTATTTATTATTTTTATTTAAATTATTATTTTTATTTATTTTGCTGGAAACGAAAGTTTCGATTTCTTATGTACGCATATGTTTTAAAAAAGAATTTAATATTCTACATATGTCTTTTTATATTTATTACTTCAACGCAGAAAATATATGTACATATTTTTTACATGAGGTCTATCAAGAGAAAATGTTTTGAAAATATTATTAAGAAAGTTAAAATTTTAATGTTTAAATTAATGTTACTTAAATTTTAAATTGTTTGAGTTTTTTTTAGTTTAAAGTTTTTGTTTTAATAAAATATTAATTAAATTTTTCTTTTTATTAACTTTTATTTTAACTAAAATTTTATTTATTATTTTATTAGTTAACATTTTTTTCTTTTGATTAAAAGTTTTTTGTATTTTTTTTAATTAAAAATTATGTTGTTTTTTAATTAAAATTTTTTTTATTTATTTTTTTTTTTACTTTTTGTCACCATTTTTTATGAATTTCAATTTTTTTTTCTTTGTTTAAGCATTTGTATAAATTTAATGTTTTATTTATACTGTTATTTAAAAAAAAAAATTAAAAATTAAAAAAAATATGTCGTGAAAAAAAACAGGTACCGCGTTAGGTGATAGCCAACTACACCACAACCAAGCACACCAACATGCAACTGTTGCAATTTTGTTTAAAATTTTAATTGAAAAATGGCATAATTTGCTGTAATATTTAAGACAAAACACACAATAGTAATTTAATGAAAGCCTTGTACATAAAAATCAATAAATAAATAAAAAATGAAAACTGCAAACAACTTTCTTCATTGTGTATGTGAGCGCAGGAGAGGAATTCATTATAAATAAAAACCTAAAATGTATCAATGTAAAAAAATAAAATTTACAAAAATCTAAAAGCATGCAAATATCAACAGTGTAAATGTATGCTAGTAGTAGTAGTAAACTAGTTTTATTATAAAACTTTATATATTATTGTGTAAAAAATTATTATTACGATTAAATAAAAATTGATACATATATATTTCAAAAAAAAAATAATAACTGGTGTAAACACTAAACTTTTATTTATGATTCTAAACAGACTTAAGAAAAACAAAAAGATAATAAAGAGCAGTTACATAAGTAAATATGTGCATCATGTGAGCGATTTGTTGTTTGTATATATTTATACACAAGCCTTTTTTCTACAGCGTCCAACAGGAAATACAAATAAACTAGATTCTAGTGTAAAAATATTATATAGTTTTAACTAACTTGATATACATACTTACATATGTACATACATAGTAAATTGTATAATCCTAATGAAATTTAATTTTTCTAGCACGACAGTTTTCAAACCTACTTTCGAAGCTCTATAGCGTAAAAAAAAGCAAGTAATGAAAGTATACTTTTTTTAATTTGTATTAGCGTAGCATAGGTTATCAATTTTTTATTGACATTGTTATTATTTATGTACATTTATAATTTATTTAATTCAAATATTTATATACAATTTTATTAAATTTTGTTTGAATAAACTTTAAGTTTTTAATTTATTTTATTTCAATTTCAATATTATTTAATACCAGCCCACTTATATATTTTACTTTTATTACAGTTTTATAAATAATTTAAATATTAACTATTTTTTTTAAATTTATTAAGTTTTAAAATTTTTTATTTTTTTGTTTAGTGAGTTTTAGTTTTTTCTTGAATTTTTATTTTTATTTTTTTGTTTAATGAGTTTTAATTTATTTTTTGTTTAATGAGTTTTAATTTTTTCTTTAATTTTAAGAATTTTAAATATTTTTTTATTCAAAAAAATTTGTTTGTTTAATTTTTTGTTTTTCAAATTTTTCTTTAATTTAAAATTTTTATTTATTTTTTTTAATTTTTTTTAAATACAAATTTTTTAAATATTATTATCAACTAAATACGTCGAACACCGTTTAACTAAACACACATTGTTCCCCGAATAGCAAAATTAGGAGGCTTTTGCTCAGCAATACAAGCAAAAACTGAACACTCTAAGAAACAGTGAAACAAATGAACGAAAAATTACTGATAAAACAAGTTATTTACCACACACCACATACTATAGATATTTGTTGTATTCTTGTTATTGTATAAATATTTTTTTCTCATATTAAAAATTAGATTTTAGAAGCAGAGTGATCCAAAGCGTATTCAAATCATTGAAAAATAAATAGTACTGAAATTTGAATATTTAATTAGAAATAAAAAATAAGTTAAACAATACGAGACGAAAAATAGCGGTAAATAAGAAACATTAAAAATGAACTATATATGAAAAGAATTAATTGCGCTAGGGATAGTAAGTAAAAACTGAGTACGAATTGATAAATGTTGCAATGGTTAATAAAACTATAAAAAATTTTGAAAATTTTAATAAAAAAATTAAAAATTCTAATAAAAAAAATTGAAAGTTCGAATAAAAAATTTGTAAGTTTTCATAAAAAATGTGCGCCCGAAATTACAAAATGTCACACTGTGCGCTTTTATGTGTGTAATTTGTACACTTTAATTGATTATTTGAAAAAATTAAAGAAATCATTATATTTTATATATATAATTCTCTTTCTTTTATTTACACAATTGTTTACAATTGTATGAAGCACATAGTCGCTAGCGAAAGAAAAACTAACTATAGATTTATAAGTTAAATTTAAAGTGTTGCTATAAATACTAAAACTACAAAAAACTGAAAATTAGTAATTGTGTATGTGAAAATAATAATAATTAAATTAAAAGAAAATGTTTGAAAGAAGTAAGTATAAAGTTAAGCGTAATTTAGTGATTAAATAAATTGAGAAAAAAAAAATAAAAAAACTTAAAAATGTAAAAAACATAAAACAATCATAAAACTATTGCATTTTTATTTAATTTTTTTTTTTTGTAAATTTATTTTATTCCCAATTCCAGTGACAGCATGTTTTGTTAAAGGGGATTAATACCAGGAAACACATTGATTTCGGCTGCACCTAAACTATAATATTCCTCACAGGCGCATTTATTATGCATGAAAGGGCTTATATAAAAAAATCTTCATTTTGATTTTAATTGGTCAATTTGTATGGCAGCTATATGCTATAAGGATCCGATACGATTCGGAGTTTGTAGCATTGCCGTGGAAAATAATCCATGCTAAATTTCAAAAGATATCTCGTGAAGTAAAAAAGTTTTCCATACAAAGATTTGAGTCTGATCGTTTAGGTTGTATGGCAACTATATGCTATAGTGATTCGATCTGAACAGTATATTCGAAGATTAAGCTGTTGCTTTGGACAATAGTCGGAATTTCGTAAAGATAACCAGTAAAGTAAAAACGTTTTCCATATGAGGAACTAAGTTCCAAATGAGATCATTCGGTTTGTATGGCAGCTACATATTGTACATACATATGTATATGCTACAGTGTTCCGATATCCGCCATTCGGTTCGTGTATATTTAGACGAACAGACAGCATGACATAGCTAAACTTTATAGAATCTCCGTCACTTTCTACCAGGGTTACATATTTTTTTTTTATTTCCTTCAATTGCGTCTGTTTATTGTAGAGGCCGATAACTGCAAAGCTTTACGTGCATTGAAGATCAGCAAAAAAATAAATTTATGTTAAATGATTATCGTCACTATCAAGTGATCGACAGTAACTCCAGTCACCTTTCATTAATCTGTTTTCTAAAGAGTTTAGTTGTGCTTTTATCCGGCGATGCGGCGACGTTGTATAATATTTAATGGACCTCTTAATACTTTCCCTTGTGACAGGTCTTCATGCGCTGTACAAAAAGGTAGGCTTAGTAAATCTATAAAGTAAGTAGCTACTTTAATTCCACGGGTCTGACGAAAAAATGAGTTAGCTACAGCCAGCAAGAAAATTAGGTTATCTAACATACCACTTAATTTTTGGACAGTATGGTAACGTATGGTATGCTACTTCTAGGTGTCTAGGGTTTCACAAGTCCTACAAGTTTTCGCGTTAGCTAACTCCACAAAAGATATTGGAGTAGAATGTAACCATGCAACCAGCATGAAAATCGGGTTATTTCGCGTCTCGTTCGATTTTTGCATAGTATGGAGGTATTCGCGGGTCGTAGTGTTTTACAAGCCTTGCGAGGTTTTTCGTTAGGTAACTCAACAAAAGATAATGGGGAATCAGCATATGTATATTTAATAACGTCCAACTTCTGTTCTTTCTACGACAAGACAAGACGTTGTTTAAGCCGGCAGATCAGAAGAATCATGATTGAATCGGGTAGAGGCTCGATAAAGAAGTTTGTTTTAAAACAATTAGTGCGTTCTTTTCCATATAAAAATTTATTTTTTTCTAAATTACAAAAATAAAATTAATCTATAAAATACTAATTATATTTACAATTGTATTACTAGTCTAAAAATTCGTATATTTTAGAATCACAACATATAAACCTTTTTGTACTCATTTCACTATTCAGACTTCTACAATAAATTTGGAGCTCCTCAATGCGGATTTACTTGTATAAACGAATAAAAACTGGATTAAGTTTGCGGCTACGTTGAACGCTACTTTTGCCTGCTTCCTTGCCTTTTCCCCCAACACGACCGAGCAAAACTCGTTCACGCGCTCACAACCTTCGATGTGAAAGCGGCTAGCTGCGCTTTGAGCGCGTCGATTTGGCAAAGCAGTTCAATGTTTTGACGTTCCAAGTAGGCAGCGCGTATGGCGATCTCATCCTCTTTTATGCGACGACGATCGCGCGACTTCTTAGCCGCCGCATTATTTTTGCGACGACGCTCATAGTAAGCCGCGTCCTTTACTTGTCCAGCAGACGAGCTGCTGCTATTGGCAGTGCCATTTACATTATTATTATTTTCCTCACCATTGTTGGCATGCGCTGAAGAACTCACTTTATCCGCATGACCGCCGGTGTACGAGGAGTCACAATCGCTAGACTCATCTGCGCCAGCGCCATGACGTTCCTCGCCCTCGCTGCTGGCACCCTCCGGCGTATTGCTACTGGTGTTGCTGTTGCGTCGTGAATTCATGCGACGCATCTTCGGGTTGGTGATTGTGCGCGCGCCACCATTGCTGTTGTGTATTTGCTCCAGTACGCGCTTACGGTATTCCGTATAGCGTTCGACGCGTGGATTGTCCAATAGCACATCGGTGGCGGCGAAATTGGCGGCTATAACTAACGGATCGCGTGGGAAGGCCTTAAAGGGGCGCGTCGACTTTAGCGCGTTTAATGCGGAGCTGCTGCTTGGCGTAGTTGGATTGTTGGCGGCAACGTTGGCGGCTTGCATTGCGGGCGATTTGCTGCGTCCATCATGACTGGAGCTGGGCGAGAGTGGCGTCATGTGCACATCTTCTGTTTTGAGCTTGTGTAGCATGCCATTAGGCGTTGTGTTTGCAGCGGCGGCAGCAGCCGCAACGGCGGTCGCAACAGCCAACGAATTATTAGAGATTGGTGAGGTCTGTGTATGTGCGGTGTAAAGCGATGCGTTTGATGCCGGTGGTGTCACCGCTGCTGCCAGTGGTGGCGTGGTGGCTGCAGTGGCATCTTTGGTAAGACCGATTGAGGAATAAAATGCTGGATAGAAGGATGCTAACGGTGGCGCAAGCCGTCCCATTTGTTGTTGGGCGTTATAAAGCAAATTTGTTTGCAACAACTGCTGCTGCTGTTGGCTGTGTGTTGGTGATGTCGCTGGCGATTCGGCGCCGACACTCGAATTTGTATGATAAGGCGAAGGTGTTTTACGTACCGATGCAGTCTCAACGGAATCGCGTCGTGAGAGATCAAGCACTTCGCTTGCTGATTGGTGTCGGCTAACGCACTCCGCTTGTGCGGCGCTGCCAATCAGCTGTGCCTGTTGTTGGTAAGCGTAGGCGGAGTAGAGTTCGAGCTGCTCAATAGCGGCGGCTGGGAGAGCGGCGTGTGTTTGGTGTAGCGCATGTTGTGTGAGCGGCAGGCTGGGATTGTAGTTTTGGTGGTGTGTAAGGAAGGGCTGATGTGCGGAGAGACGTGCGTGCTGTGCGGTGGCTGAATGCAACAAGTTATTGTGTTCTGTTTGTGAGTAAGGTTTGTAATTAGTTGCTGCGTTTTTATGAAAATTATTTCAAGATATCAATTTGTTTAAGAACTTTACAGTATTTTTTTGAGTCCAAAACTGTTACTTACCATTTTTCAAATCAAATAGGAACTGTCCCGACATGAGCTTCTCTTGTATCATCATTTTTATCTGATTTCACTTAATAACACTGCAATATATACTATAGGCACTTTTTGTACGAAAATCTTTACTGAAGTTTTCTTTTAAAACTGGTGATGACTGACACTGCTTCGGTTCTACACTTTGATTAAATATCCACGTTGTATATGTCTAATTCCTACTGCTGTCAGCTTCTAACTACACTACACACCCAGTCCAGCAAGGCTTTTATACACGACACTCTCCAACCATAGACGCTCTCTGCTGCCTCTTTGCCTGTCTGTTCACTTCATACGCCTATCCTTTTGTTTGGCTCTAGGCGGTTTGTCCGTCCGTCCGTCCATACATCCATCCATTCAACCGCTTACACATTTTCGGTATTTTGTTTGTTTGTCTGAGCCGCCGCCGAAACGATTATCACAATGACAATGACTTGTGACAATGACAATTCGCCATCCCAGTTGCACTCGCGCTCAGCGCATCATTGCCTTTCCTACTCTAAGCCGGCAGGTAGGTGTAATGCGCTCTCTCTATTTTATAATATTTAATCTTAGCTCAAAATATGAGCAAACATATGAATTTTGTTTGCAAATGCAATGCCAACATAGTATAACAAACGGTACTTTAATATTGCAAGCCTATTTGATGTACAGGAAATAATTGTAATAGCTGCTCTCCACTCTCAGTTGACGTTTGTATATGACCTGTTTCCGATTTTTTTGTTGTTGTATTGTCGTTGTAGTGGTAGCGAACCCTTCTACCCTTAATAGCGGTACTTTGTATGGCGTTTGTATCGATTCTTTGGCAAAACACTTTCTCACACACTTTGCAACCCCGAAAAAGTAATATGAATAACCCTTCGAATTTGATATTATATTAGGGAAATACACAAAATATTATATACTAAACGAGTATATAATGTAAGTATTAGCAGCAATGGGCGATGCTGTGAAGTTGCTTAAAGCCATTGCGAGAATCCGAAAAAATAATGCAACGTTGGCGTAGATGCTCGTTTCGCGAATTTAATGGACTTAAATTTTAAGACTGAAAAGTCGATAAAGTACGTAGTTATATATAAAAATAACAAAATTTTAAAAAATTAAAAAAAAAATTTTTTTCTTTATTTAATATTTATTTTTAAAATTTTTAAAAATTTGAAAAAAAAAAATTTTTTTTATTTAATATTTATTTTTAAACTTTTCAAAAATATATTTTTTTGTTTAATAATTAATTATAAGTGTTAAAATTTTTTTTTTATTGAAAATATGAACGTTTTTAATTTCGAAATTTTTAATATTTGTTAAGAGCAAATTTGCAAAATTCTAGCACTTATGCAATTATTTCATCCAAAAAATTACAAAAGATTTATACAGTGTTATACATAAATGTATGCATAAAATTAACTGAAATTTTCAAAATTTCAACTTTTTCAATTCCGAAATTTTTAATATTTTTTAAGAGCAAAGCTCTAACTATAAAGGAATTATTTTAAACAAAAAATTACAAATACGTTATACAATGTTATACATGAATGCATGCATAAAATTAGTTGAAATTTTAAAAATTTGAAATACAAAAAATTTTGAAAATTTCTACCTTTCTAATTTTGAATTTTTTTTGAATATATTTTTTATGATAAAATTTTCAAAATTGTAACACTTAAGCAATTAAATCATCTTTAAAATTTGCTCAAATCTAAGTCTGGCTTTCACTGAAGCTTTGCAATATTTATACTAAAACCATTAGAGATACGAAACAAAGCAATTTTGGTAAAATTTGGATAAGCCAATTTTTAAGCTAGTTACTTCACAGAACCTCGCTCAAAATGTAAACTTTATCAAAACAAGAAAGGCTTGGAGGGTGAGCTTTTGTGCGTTGGGATAAATTTCATTTCCAAAGTAGATATTGAGTGCAAAATGTTTAGTTGATTAGCAGTTATGCCTTTCATTTCAAATAACCAAGCTTTCACCTGCACATATAAAAAAAGCTTAAAAAACTTATGAAAGCTTGTGCGATAGTATGGAAATATAACGCTTTCACGAGCATGACACTGAGAGTATGAAATTGTCAAGTACATGCATTTCTTTACAGATAAATTCATAGAGCTGATTGAACTGAGTGGCTACCCTTTGGAAAGCTGTAACTCAAAAACTATTTGAAATATTACTTTAAGAGTAGAGAGAATATGTTATTTTATATATATTTACTAGAATACTCCCTTAAGAAGAAACTAAAAGGTTTTGTGCAACATAGACTACATAGACAACATAGTTCGACGAAGAAGCTTTACCAACAATCTAAACCGCACTTCTATCAATAAAACATATGAAATTTCATATAAACCATAGAGCAGTAAACAAATCTATTCTGATTCCAAGTCACCATAGATTTTCTATGACGTTTTTAAAAAACGAGATGAAGGACACTATTTAGAAAAGCTTAACATATAATATTTAAAATCTTTTGGTGCTGAAACTATAGCAAAGTAGCTGGCTGAGCCTAATGGGTCTCTCTGTGTGTATTCCATAACAGATAACAAATTTATCAAAGATATACTGCAGACGCTCGAAATCAGTCTAAACTTGTAAAAAGCTTAAATTCTTCGTAACATCACAAAGCTCTCCCCACAAAATGGAGCTGAAACTCCGCGAAATCTCAGCGAATTTGTTGTTATTATGATTGCACTTACTCTAATCAAGCGCAGTTAGTTTTGAAAACTGTTTACTTACTCACACAATACACACTGCGTACTCAGCGTATAGTGCGCACTGTGCGCAACTTGCAATAATTATGTAAGTATGATTTTTGAATAGTGTGGCATGTGTTGTTGCTGCTACAAATATTAGATACAAGCTATTTTTACGCCTCAAACATATAAATTTAATGTGCAATGCCATTGTTCATATGCACTTGCATATACAATACACACCCATAAGCGTGCAACGCGCTTTAGTGCGCGCCGAACAATCTAAGTTAATACGCAATCGACTTTTTTCCACGACTACAATAACACGACATTTGTGTGTATGCTCTCATTTTTTGATCTACATACAAGCGCGCGGCTACCTAGTCAAGGTCCTGGCAACAATGCGCTCGCTATAATGCGCTTCAGTGTATTTTCTGTTCTACTTTTGTTTGCAACACAAAGATCACGCGCCTACTTTGCTCTATTTAACTACTGCAGAGTCCTAACAATTAACTTGAGCGTTTAGTGCTTAGTTATTTGCATATTCGGCAAACGGCAGAGCATAGGTATGTGTGTATATATATGAGTCTTCGGAGAAGTTCAACGACTTAACGCTTGTAAGGTCAAACGCTAGCTACCGCCTCTTCGATGTAGAATTTTGGCAGTGTACAAATCGCGTTGCCACGAAAGGCGAATCCTTTCCTGCAGTTTCCGTGCAAATCATTCTGCGCCAAATCCTTTGAGCGGCCAACGGTATTGGGTGACGCCTACTGCAGCAAGGCAATCGCTGCTGCGAATTGTCTATATTACGTTGTTGCGAATACGATGATCTTACGACATAATGAACTGTAACGAATTTTCACGGTCTGGACGCACAGTGCATGCAGACATATGCAAATCCTTTTACACCGCAGCTAATTGCATGCACAAGCTTCGTCAACACGATTGAGCCCGAAATGGGTGCTGCGTATTTTCGCATATTTTGCAGTTAATTTATTAAAAAAAAAGTGATTAATCATTAAGGAGTTTTATTGCGTAAAAGCTGTAAACACTTATAGCAAGCACGCGCCAAGCGCTCAAGGGTTTAATGTTGTGGAACTTTGCTAGAAAGTTTGTCAAACAAGATTGCATGCACGTGCTTTGAAAGCGCAAAAATAGCATTTAGAACTATGCAAATTTTGATACAAATCGTTTTGACGAGGAAAATACGCTCATTCGATAAGTTGACACCAATTAATTTGGGAAAAGGGCCTTGCAAACTTTTGCAATGAAGATATTTTTGAGATTTTCTTTACTCGAGGCGAACTCGAAAAGACAGCGTCAGTACAAAATAGCATGATAAGTTGATTCCGCCGATTCATGACGAAAGTATGTCTAAGCGAACTTTTGTAAGTTTTGCAATAAAGTAGAATACAGCGTAAGGATTGAAGTTTTCAAAATTTTTCTTTACTGAAAGCGAATTAAGAAAGTACGACGTCAGTACACAGCGGCGTAGGAAGAAATTAATTTCAGGAGGAGGTTTTTGTTCAAATTTTTCATTAAAAAAGTCATGAGAACGATAAAAATAGTTAGTGCTGGCAACGCGTATTGTTTTATTGTTTAATATAATGCACTACGTCAATTATTCATAAAATTATATTTACTTTTCAACTGAATAAAATTTTTCGCTAATGCAAAAAGTACTTATAAAATGACATCCAGTTTTCTGGGCAATCGACAGAGGCAGATTTGCAATGCGAGACACGCATTTTGACATACGTACACACGAGTCTATATAGCTTGTTTCGATTCTCCTTAGCGAACCCGACTGACTCCGAGCACGCGCACATAGTTTAATTGAAGCCTCGGTACGAACGTTCCCCGAGTTCTCCCTTCCCTCATGTATCATGTAACTATGCAATATCGTCGATAACGATTCATCGCTAAAATGGAATAATTAAAAATTGTATAGAAATATTTAAATATTTTTTGGTTCTAGTAGAGGTTCAACCTAGGGGTTGCCCCCTTCTGCCTACGCCCCTGTGGCGAATCAGAATTCCGTAAAGTGGTTCAATGACTTCCATCAGTTTAAGAAATTCGTAATTATTACACGAAACGGCTAGACGGATCGGCTTGAACTTTTCACACGACCTTCTAAGATATTATATATTTGTCAGCTAATGAGCGAAGTAATAAGATTTTTGCAAATTTTGGGCGCTATGAAGTGTAATTTTTTTGACAACAAACTACTACTTTTTTGAAAAGCCGCCATTTTGAAAAAAAATTAAATTTTGACTATTCCTTAAATAATTATTTGTATTCATCGATAGTAATAAATAATTTTTAAGAGTTTTTTATTTGATATAATTTTAAGCAGAAAAATGTTCTGCACCGCCAGACAGCTTTTCTCGGAAGTCCTGCTGGAAATCGGCTTCGATATCATGGGCAACAAAATTTTTCAAAATGACTCACCGATTATTAAAGTACACTAAATTTTGTAAAAGTACATTATTGCTTTTTATTTATTAAATAAAATGCCTATTAAAAAATTCACGAAAAAACGCGTTTTTCTTGATTTGCAAGTGAATATTATTCTTTAAAGAAGTAGCCCGGTGTGACGGCTGAAATTTCGACGTTTTTTCGTGAATTTTTTTCAGCAGAAAAATAATATGCGTTCGCTTTGTAATTTTTACATGGTTTTTTTACTACTTTCAAGCA